AATTCGTCCATTTTCTGGATGTCATCATCGAATCAAAAAATTACATTGCAATCATATTAATTCCTGGATGCGATATGAATTGCCGAGATCAAGCTCACGCCTAAATAAGTAGGTGCAGGTAACCACATAAAGTAAATTAGAAGTGGAACACTTAACTGCAATATGTTTAAGTTCCTGACTAGATATTATAAAACATTGCAAACCAATGCCATGTGAGGATGTAAGCCAAAGTGAGTAGGACAAATAGAAGATTAATAGGGGGTATGCAGACTAAATTATCCCTAACGGTGGTGGGATAGTGGGAAGGAGGGGGGGGGGGGGGGGGACATTGGGATATCAAAGGTTAAGGGTAGACTAATCCACATCAAATAATCGGGAATGCAATGACTGAAGGCGACGTATGTCTAAGAAGAGCATAATGAAATGCGTTTTAGCCAAATGAAATGGAAATGTTCATTGTAAATGGCAGCACAATGCAAAATCCAACGATCTTCTTATCATGGCTGAATAAAACAGTGTGCGCGCGTGCGTGTGAGTGAGTGAGTCTACAAGGGTGCCTACCTCCACAATTTCGTCTGAAGTCACACATTCATCCACATCACTTTAATTGAATCTTGTTTAGAGCTGAGGGTCATGTCTCTCTATGATTTATGTTACTACATTCTCTCAAGGTGAAGCGTTACTGCACATCGAAATAATATTATACTCTATGTAGAAAGTTTTACATTATAGTTGTCACTAACATTTACTTCATAAACAATAGCCTGGCATAGATCAATCCCCCTGATAGACACAACTTAAGCGCATGTACAAGTTTATTCCACTTAAATCGGAAGAGTTAATATTGTGCTTGAGTTGCTAGATCTCAGGTTGTGGTGTTGCCTTGTTAATTGAAGCGAAACGCAGATGAATTCTCGGGTGATTCAACCACCTCAAACAACTTGATCAAACACTTCAGACATTCTAACTCACTTTCTAGCAGTTATTTCATGAAAACGACAAGGCTAATCGATTTGCGACTTCTCCGCTCTTAGTATATAGAACTCGAAATGGCACAGTAAATGTCATTTGAAATGACTCTGAAACGATGGCAGTGAGGTTAGAGTACATATGACTTCCATTCAAACATTTAAAAATCAACGAACATCAAGTGAACTAAATTTTCCTGCTTATTGGCAGTCGTGGTGAGGAAGACTAACCACCTCAATGGTAACTTTTGGAAATGATTTTGAGAGAAGTTGAAAGAAGATCATTTTGGTCTTAATGAACATGACGCACTCACTTTCACTATATCATTAACATTCGCAGTGGTTATTTTGAAGCAATGACACTTCTAACTCTGGGTTAATAAAATTTTTCAATTATGTTTCAACTTGTTTAACTAAGTTACGATGATTGGAAATCGATAACGTTAAAAGCTTTCTGCTTCAAAATAGTTGGTATTATTCAACAAAGTTGATTCAAACTTGGTACTCTGGTTGAATAAAATTGACTTTAAATTATATTTCCGTCAATTTAATGTGTGTTTAAGCAATAAAACAAGGAGGCTGTGAGGTTTTATGGCAATGTTTGTAATTTAGAAGAAAATCATTGGTCAAATTAAAGCCCACAAAGAGTATGATTGTTACTAAAATCTCTTGAACAATCTGATTGGCTCATTGATTAATACTCCACCATATTCAACTCTTACATAAAGCCTATGTAATCTGAGTTGAAAATCTTGAATTGAGATTAGAAAATGGTTTTGTTTTATGGGGAAACTCCAGTCCTCCTCATAGTCTTTCTTTTCAATCTGTTCACCATTCCTTCTAACGGATGGGTATGTGGAAGGCTCTTCTCTGATTTGTGTCTTGATCAATACGACACTTCTGCAATTATTGTTCTGTCACTTCTAGTTATAGCCACAGTTTTTTCTCTAATAGCAGCAATTTTACAAATCCTCTGTATGGTGAAACTAACTTATCGCTACCTCTTGCCCTCAAGAATTTTCTCTTTGTGTGCTGCATTATGCGCAATGGCCAGCATATTCTACTACTACGAAGAATTTATACAACCAAGTTGGAGTCAAGATATTGCCTTACACGTGTCTGGTATGATATCCGGTTTGGCAATATTCCAAATAGCTAACTTCATCTATGTCAAAGTGGCCAATGGCAAACTGCCCAAAGAGTAACTTTTCAACGTTCCTTCAGTGTCAACTTGTTCAATTAGTTAAAACAATCGTTCTGCAACAAACATTGTTTTATGAATGTGAACTGAGTA